TTATGGAAGATGTTTAATAAGTTTCTGCTGTTTTGGAAAAACAAGTCAAGGACCGATGAAGCAGCTATATTGGAATGCTTTGACAAATAAAAAGGTTGGCTTCCAGAAAAGTTTCTCAGAATTAAAAAATAATTGTTATAATTTATTTCAGCAGGGGTGAAAACTTGTCTATAATTAAGAGAAAAGCCACCTTTCATGTTTTCATCAGATACTTTCAACTGGCATTGTCTTTCCAAAATTTCAGATGAAGAGGATAGATTTCATTACTACTACTGTATAAATGTATTATGCAGTAGAAAATTTCCCAAAGACTGACAAAAAAGTCTGCGGACCAGCGCTGGTCCATGGACCACGGGTTTGGGAAAAATCCTGTAGAGAACATATTTGAGTATCTGACGCTATCTATCTTGCTGAGAAATTCCATCAGTCGTTCAAAGGCCCGTTTAATAGTGCAATACGCAAGTAATTTAGATATGGATCTCGCAGAATTTTTCGGAATACGTGGCAATAAGAAGGCGGAAATTGAGTCATCTGCGGGGTTGATAAGGTCAAGGTTAGATCCAGGACTGATAAATCGACGATGCTCCGCGCAGTGTGATCGATATTTCCTGTATATAGAACCAAGCGTCGCATTGAGTCATCATCATCATCATCATCGAATTTCAAGCCTGGTGGAAATACATATATAAAGTAAAAGTTTGTCACAAAAAACTCCCATGGATCTGATGACAAAGCTGTTATAAACGTAAAATTCGTTGAATTGAGATCCATGATTTTTTTTAACACACTTCCGATTGATTTTGCAAGAAATATGTACTCTTGTGTATTTTTTCAACATTATTGTTTCTCTACACTAATACCCAAATGCCCCACTAATAGTCTACAGAAAGCCATTTGGTTCTCCTTGTGCAGAAAAGTTGGAATATTTTCACAAAATGTTGTCCCCATGTGGGCTGTAAATTAAAAATAAATATATATATGATTTTTGACACCAAGGCTTGATAGTCAGGAGAAGTCCATTTTTTATAATCCTGCAGAAAACTTTTGCCAAAATTATAGAAATTCCTTAATTGGTGGCGTTTCTTTATGCAATCCCAGCATATAATCAACATTGGGCATTTCTTGAAAACAGGGGATTTTCTGTACCTGGATTTTTCCCAACTTGAAAACCTGGGGTATTTCAGTAACCTTTGGTCAAACTGAAATGCCCCCCCCCCCCCCAAATCACAACTTTGCTGTGCGATGGCCAGAACCCTCTGCCTTAAAGGGTTAAAAGAATTTGGAAAGCTTCCTTTTCCATTTTTTCCTTATTTTTGGCCATTTTTTAATAATCCCTGTGCCCTATGCATGCAATCAGGCCAAAAATTTTGTTAAACAAGGGAACCTTGTTAACTCAAACCTCCCTAAGTCAAATACCCCCCTAAGTCAAATTGCTTCAGGTTCCCACTACCAGAATTCCCTGAGGAACAAATTATTTACTTGACCCAAGAAAAAAAAAGCCATAAATAGAGAAAATGGTGTTTTTTAAAGGAAGTGAAAGATATTGGGCAAAGGAAGCCCTGCCTCCCAGTTTTGTTTCCTTTCAACTCATTTAAGAAGCCATTTGAGCCCCAGAATATCAACATTTCCAATTTTTGAAAGTTTTGAAAGTTACCCAGGAAAAAGGGCTTTGTATTGTAGGTCAAACCTCAAAACCTCCCAGCAGTAAGTCAAATTTCTTTGCTGGTCCCTTGAAATTTGATTTAGAGAGCTTAGACTGCAATGAGATGACAGTTTAAAACTTGTTTGTTGAAATGATATGTTTTTAACATGGCTCTTGTGATGGGAAAACAGCTGCGACTAAGAAACAAAATTCGTCATAACGGAATTTTACAGCAGTATACAGTAATAAGGAACTGAAACTTTTTTTGTTGAACTATACAATTATATAATGTCAGTGCTCATTTGATACATAATGAGGACGTCACTTATTACAATGGTGATTATATGCACTGTTTTTATACTCACTAGATCAACGGAAACGATCGCAGTGAGGTCAACAGTGAGCACGAGAGACTTGGGATGCGGGTTGTCGGTTGTGAAGATCCCGGAATTTGTGACGATAACATACTTGGACACCGGATTTCCGCCATCATCCGAATCCTTGATCACGCAGGATTCGTAAGTCCTGTATATTTTCCGGGATGAAGGAGTAGAACGTCATTATACAGTAAAATCTCGTTACAGAAGAGAGAAAACTGATGCCCCATATACACAAAGTCAAGTTTTTTTTTCAACATTAGGCGTTTCAATATTTCAGGGCATGGGCTGATAGGTATAATAGGTGAGAAAGGTTGAAGACCTAACTATATATTTCATGGGAAAATTTTCATCTCATAAGAAGGTGTAATACTGCGGTACCCAACCAAAAGCCCCCCTGCCAAAAGCCCCCCTAGGTCAGAAGCCCCCCAGGAAAGCCCCCCTAGGTCAAAAGCCCCTCCCCTGCCAAAAGCCCCCCCCCCACTACTTTTTTTAAAATTGGATGCAAGTTTCATAATGGTGTTTGGTGGCCCTGAGAAGGGCTACTTGGTTTCATTAGTCCTTGAAAGGACTGTTTAATAATAATTTTCAACATTGCTTTCTGATGCCTCTTCCTCACTGTCACTGATGCTCTCCATGTCATTTTCTTCTAAATAGCCATTGTAGTATGCACTTTGATCGCCCTTCTGATGTTTGATGATCTGAAGTGCACCAGCCATTGGACCAACAAGGTGAACTGCAGATTTTGCGGAAGTCAGCAAGTGATGATGCTTTGACATTCAAAGAATCACTGATGACCTCTGCAGGTGAAGAATCCCTTTATTTACTCAACTTACCACCATATTGGTACTTGGCCTTGTGCTGGGCCTGCTGGTGAAAGGTGTAGCTTGCCATCAAGAGTTACAAGAATACCTGGTGATAGGTTCAGCTTACGATCAAGAGTTACAAGAATACCTGTAATCCCCAATGTTTGCACCATGGGGGGGGGGGGGGGGTTTGGCAGGGGGGCTTTTGACCTAGGGGGCTTTCCAGGGGGGCTTTTGGCAGGGGGTCTTTTGGACTACACCCATTACTGCACTGGAAATTTGGGTTTTTATTATTTTCAATGTGCATTCTTCTTTATGCAACAAAGACCAGTACTGTTGGTACCTTGCAATTCAACCCTGATCTGTTGCCAGACTAGGGTCACACTGCAAAGTGGTCAAATTGTGAGACACTTTGTAAAATTGAGGAATATCAGCACAAAAATGCAAAATAAAAGTGGCCAAGGCAGGTCTACTTCTGGGGCAAAGGTCAAATTGCAGTCAACCTCCCAGCAAATTTGATCATCAAATTTCAAGACTGTTAAATTGCAGGAGGTCAAATTGCAAGGTGCCACCTGTATGTTGTTGTTTTTCTATTTCAAAATGGCATTATAGCATAGTTGAGTTTCTGCCAAAGGATAATGAGTACAATGGTTGCTGTCAAAAGAGGAATATGGATAAATAGCTTATGAGAGAAGATTAAAAAGAGGTGCCACCTCATTTTCTTGAGTGCTGCAATAAGTTCTATCTTCATGTCTGGACTCTGGAATACAGCAGTGAATATAATATTTAAAGCCTTTGTTTGTTAGGTGTGACAAAGGAAATTCAATAACACAGCATTTTCCTTTTTGCCTATATGATTAGCTTATACACAGACATAACCAAGAGACACAGCACTTTGGTGATGGAAAAATCCATTGTTAACTTCCCTACTTGTCCTTCCAAAGAGGGATTAATGAATTTCTTGGGAGAAACCCTTCTTGTGGGCCAAGAAGAAAATCTGATAATTTTCTGCTTGGCTCAAAATTCTCCACTAGAACACAAATTGAGATTAAACTACTATGCAGTATATGACATCTTTCTTAGTCCCAAAGGAGGATTGATGTGCTTGTGTAATTCAAGTTTGGACAGTGTCTTTGATAAACAAGTTGCAACTGCTGCATGAATGTACAATGGATTCTTCAATTTGGTGCACCAGCAGTGACAACATCAGTGTATATGAACAGCAACAATTGCATATGCAAAATCCTTTCTGCTGATGAGTATATACTGTATTACACTCTGTCTTATTGTTTTGCTCCTTCAAGGGTCAAGTTTCAAGGGACCTGCAAAAAAATTTGACTTGGGGAGGTTTGAGTTATCAAGGTCCACCTTTATATAAATGGAGGTTTTTCCAAAACAAATTCTATCTTACTTCAGATGTATCTTTTGTTGCCAATAAGTTTAATTTACAGTACTCCTAATTTTCTATATGATTCTACTCCTATACTCCTATTCCCTAATGGGAATATTTAGTTCTTATGGCCAGGGTAGCTTTCTAAGTGAAATGTACTTCTCTTTTCAAGCAGAGTAGTATCTATACTTTCCAAAAAATTCTCAAGAGAGAGTCCAGACCAACAATGATGAGGTAAAAGAGTGCTCAGGCACTCCTCTAGTCTATATCTTTGAGCCTCTTCCAAAAGGCTTCTGCCCATGCATGAACATAAATGGACCCAAGACAGATAAAACTTAAATCACTAGTGACCAAATTTCAGAAAGATTAATTATATAGAATTAATATAAAGAGTTCTCACCTGACTTTGATGAGGTCCTCTGGTGGCAGTGTTCTCTTCAAAAAGGTCTCTACTTTGCTAATCACAGGTTTAATGGAATAACTGCGGTTCAACACGCTTCTTCTCCCTGAACTGGTATTTTCGCTGGGAAGCTTTCTCACTCCCGAATTAACACTCATAATCTGCAGGAAAAACTGTTTTAATCACGTTGTTTTGTCAAATTTTGGAAAGAATAATGGTCATCATCCAAATGGCAAAATTTGCATGAGTGGAGATGAATGTAAACCTGCACATGATCAATGTTAATTGCATATTTCCTCAAATTCTTCAAGGGTTACAAGAGTTGTAACAAAAATGCTGCATATAGATCGGTGTTCCCCAACCCATGGTCCCCAGACTTCCACTGGTTTGTGGAAGTTTTTTGCCAGTCAGTAGTTAATTTTTAGCAGAATAAATTTATCAAAAGTTACAATTAAGTCTGCTATCTTTACCTAAAATTTCAAAAGGTTAATAGCAGTTGAAATCATTTGATGAGAATGAAATTTTGCTTTTCTCCTAATGACAATCCAGACACATTTT